AAAAAATAATAAAACCAACATTTAATAATTAAACGTTTGTGTTGTTCATATGGTGGTCTTTTCAATTCTTTTCTTTACAGCATCACACTCATTAGCTTTTCATTCATTTACACTGGTGAACCATCCACACGCAGTCACTGACTTTAATTATGCTTTCTGGAAGGTTTGGGGCCACTATTAACAGCCAGGAGCTGTGTTGCATGAATATATAACAGAGAAGCTTTATGACCACAATGAAAACCTCCATTACAGTAATGTCAGAGTAAAACATTATCCAGCACTGCAAATTTGTAAGCTGTAAAAATACTTTCTCTTGAAATGGTTTGGGTATTTTTTCTTTTTCAAATCGAAGCAACTCAGTGCATTTAGGTATGCAAATATAGTCAAGATGTCCTAATAAGGTCAACACAGAGAAGAGTGATTTAAGTGTCTTTTAATGTGGCCTGGTCATTGGTGCCAGGTGGGCTGGTCTGAGTATTTCAGCAACTGCTGATCTGCTGGGATTTACTCACATAACCATCTCTAGGGTTTACAGAGGATGATCAAAAAAAGGAAGCTATCCAGTGAGCAGCAGTTCTCTGTGAAAATATGACAATGTTGATGACAGAGGAGAATGGCAAAGCTGCTTTGAAAGGATAGGAAGCCAACAGCAACTCAAACACTTGTTATAACCAAAGTATGGAGAAGAGCATCTCTGAAAGCACAGCATAGCAAATCCTGAAGCCAATGGGCTCGAACAGCAGAAGACCACACCTTGTTCTATCAGCTAAGAACAGGAAATTGAAAATACAATTTTCCATGGGCTCACCAAAACTGAATGGAAAAAGATTGGAATAATGTTTCCTGGTCTGATGAGTCTCCTTCAGCATTTAACATAAACAGCATGAAAGCATGGATCCATCTTTTCAGGCTGGTGTTGATAATGGTGTAATAGTATGAGGATATTTTCTTTTTTGGCCCCTTTAATCCCGAAATAGTATTGTTTAAATGCCACAACCTACCTGGGTGTTGTTGCTGACCACATCTATCCCTCCAGTGGCTGCTTCCAGCAGGATAACGCACCATGTCACAGATCACAAATCTTCTGAAACTGCTTTTCAGAATGAGTTCACTGTACTCAAATGGTCTCCACAGTCACCAGGTGGTAGAACAAGAGATTGTCATCATAGATGTGCAAACGACACATCGCCATCAACTATGTGATGCTGTCATGTCAGTATGGTCAGAAAATATCAGAGGAATTTTTCCAGCACCTTGAAAGAAAAGGGGTTGAACGCAGTAGTAGCAAGCTATTCTTAAAAACAAACAAAAAAACTGGCTGATGAATCTATATGCAGATAGTGGAAAATAGATGCGTGCAGCATATCAGAATATACTAACTGGAAAAGAAACCAGTGTCAAGATAAAGATACCAGTACAGAAAACATTGTAAACAATACAGTAAATGTTCTTCAATAAATATCCCAAGTTAGCCAGTAAGCTATCCAGTAAATGTGTGAGAAATGTCTATTGTGAACCTACAGAACTTGCGGCCGCTGCGTCAGGTCTCGCCGTCAGCCACGAACACGCTGACCTCCACCAGGTTTGGATTGGTGAACACTAGATTGCTGAGTAATAAAACTTTTATTTTAAGGGATTTATTTATGACCCAAGGACTGAATTTCCTCTGTATAACTGAGACATGGTTGAGGGCCGGTGAGTCCAGCGCTTTCACAGATCTCTTACCTGATGGCTGCTGCTCTCCTCGAATATCAGGCAGAGGAGGAGGACTAGCGGTTGTTTTTAAGAAGCAGTATAAATGTAAACCACTGCCATTATCAACCTCAGCTAGGTCGCTCTCACACAGTGCTCTGTGCTGTGGTTTACAGACCCCCAAAATACAATAAGAACTTCCTTAAATGACTTTTCTGATCTGTTGGCTGAAATTATGCCCAAATATGATCATGTCCTTATTATTGGGGACTTCAATATTCATGTGTGCTGCCCTGACAAGCCAATGGCAAAGGACTTTTTAAATCTTATTGACTCTTTTGATCTTGTGCAACCTGTGTCTGTGCCTACACAAAAATATGGGCACACGTTGGATCTTGTTTTAACTCACAATTTACCTGTCTCTAACTTAGAGGTTTGTGATGTTGTATGGTCAGACCATAGGCCTGTCCTGTTTGAGGTTTTCCTTCCTTGTACTAAAGTTAATCTTCCTCCTGTTGCTGCTAGGAGCTGTCGTATTTTTAACCCTTCCTCTGCTGGACAGTTCTCTATTGTTTTTAATCAGAACGGCGGCCTTCCTGATTTCATATGCAATGATACAGAAGAGCTGAGTATGTGGTTTTACTCTGTCTGCCAAACTGCTTTAGATTCAGTGGCCCCCTTTAAGCTTAGGCAAGTAAAAGCCAAACCTGAACCCTGGCTGAATGAAGACACCCGGGCTGCCAGAAGAAAGTGTAGGAGAGCTGAACGTAAATGGAAGAAGGATCAACTTCAGGTGTCATACCAAATGTTACAAGATTACTGGAATTCTTACCAGAAAACTGTAAAAGACGCTAAGAGGAAACATTTTGCTGCTATTATTCAGGCAAATTGTCGTAAGCCTCATGTCTTATTTAAGACTATTGACATGGTCCTTCATGCTCCACAGACTGCTGGTGTCGAGTCTTCTCAGGAAATTTGTGAAAACTTCCTACACTTTTTTATTGATAAAGTGCTATCTGTCAAAGCGCAGACTTCCCAGTCTGTTCTCGACCCTTCTACCCCTGTCCCTAGTTCTGCTGTCTTTGACAGGTTCGAGCCAGTTTCCTTGCTCTGCCTGCAGGAGTTGGTTGCTCACATGAAGCCCTCAGGTTCCCCTTATGATGCTCTCCCTCCTCGATTTTTCAAAGAGGTTTTTCTCACTATAGCATCAGCTGTACAATCCATTGTAAATTGTAGTCTGTCCTCTGGTGTTGTACCTGTCAATCTCAAACATGCAGTGATTCAGCCTCTACTCAAGAAACCTGCTCTTGATCCTGATATTATTGCGAATTACAGACCTATTTCCAAACTGCCTTTTATCTCAAAGATTCTTGAAAAGGTAGTTTACAAGCAATTAATGTCCTTCCTAGAAGAACACGGTATTTTAGAAGTTTTCCAATCTGGTTTTAAAGCTTTAGATAGTACCGAATCTGCCCTTTTAAGAGTTTTTAATGATGTGTTTTTGGCAAATGACTCAGGTGACTGTGTTATTATCGTGCTGTTAGATTTAACTGCTGCTTTTGATACAGTGGATCATAATATTTTAATTTCCCGTTTAGAGCAGTTGGTGGGTATGCGGAGTACCGCACTGCAGTGGCTCAGATCCTATTTGGCAGAGCGAACTTTCTCTGTGAAACTCGGGGAGTTTGTATCCTCTGCTGCTTCTCTTCAATGTGGGGTCCCACAAGGTTCAGTTTTAGGCCCGCTTCTTTTCTCTCTATATCTCCTACCCCTTGGGTCTATTTTCAGGAAACATGGGATTTCTTTCCACTGCTACGCCGATGACTCCCAGATTTATTTCCCACTTAAAAAGATAAATGGCTTCTCAGTAGACCCGCTGCTCAGATGCCTTGATGAAATAAGGGCCTGGATGGACTTTTTACATTTTAATGAACAGAAAACAGAAGTGATGGTTTTTGGTGGCGCTTCTGAGGCCACTATTATAGATCTTGGTTCACTGGCACAGTATGTTAAACCAGTCATCACTAATCTGGGAGTTAAAATAGAGGCAAATCTTAAACTTGAAAGCCAGGTCAGAGCTGTTGTAAGATCTAGCTTTTTTCATTTGAGGGAATTAGCCAAAATAAAGCCTTTCTTATCGAAACAGCATTTTGAGACAGTAATCCATGCCTTTGTTACTTCTAGACTGGATTATTGTAACGCACTTTATTTTGGGGTTAGTGATGCGTCCATTAGGCGCCTGCAGGTTGTGCAAAATGCTGCAGCACGTCTTTTAACTGGAACAAAAAAGTTTGAGCACATTACCCCAATTTTAATTTCACTCCACTGGCTACCTGTACATTTTAGGATCGTTTTTAAAATTCTATTATTTGCTTTTAAATCTTTTAATGGCCTGCCCCCCCACCCCTCGGAGCTACTACAACCATATACACCTGCCCGTTCCCTTAGGTCCGCCAATCAGCAGCTCCTTAAGGTACCGAAAACCAAGTATAAATTTAAAGGTGATCGTGCTTTTGCTGTAGTTGCTCCAAAGTTGTGGAATGATCTACCCTTGCATGTTAGGCAGGCCTCTTCTCTCTCTGAATTTAAAAGTCTTCTTAAAACATATTTATTCGCTGAAGACTTTGGCATTGATTAGAGGGGTTGACTCAATTTGTTTTAACATGTTTCAATTTATTTTAGTTTTTTAGTTATTTATTTTATCTTATCTCATTTTAATTTTCTTTACTTATGCTATTAGCATGTACAGCACTTTGTGAACTCTGGTTTTATGTTAAAGTGCTTTATAAATAAAGGTGGTATGGTATGGTATTGTGTAGACTGTATTTCTCACCATTGTGGAGCTGCTGTGAATGAAAAAGGTAAGTACTAGTAACTTTTTATTTTTGTATTTATTTGCATCAAAGTGGACTGAATATGCTGCTGAGCTTTAAATAGCCTACTTGGGCGCTTAGAGTGCTGCTTCGAGAAGTTTACTCTGCGCTACTAGCCCCACCCATTTTACGAAACGATGACGTCTGAGCCAATCACGATGCTTCGCGCGGAATTTCAAATATTTTCAAATGCCCATCCATTCACCGATGTGATATTGTTCCGCCAAATTTGTAAACAAAATAGTCCCTTTTGTCTAAACGCGAGTTCAATTTGATCAGAGCAAATACACAGTGCATGACAAACCTAGTATGACAAAATATTACACGCATTTCATTACAAAACACAAGTGAAGTCAAGTTTTAGTGGGGCGACCGAGTGCGTTTAAGTCTGGCGGATTGATATCACAACACTTCCCTGGACCAGGCGACGGACAACAAGGGACCGCTGTTGAAGGTTGCTTACGTTAGGTAGTCGTCGGCATGGCAGATTGTCGTTTTAACTTTAGGCTGATATGATCGTGTAGTTAAAGTCCTCGTTGTATCCTTGTCTATGTTTATGGATTTCCCAGGATTTCACGCATCTGCAAAGTGACTTTCAGGTGAGGATACGATAGTCCTAAACGACCGTTATATTAGAGTTTAATAAGTCGTGTAACACAAGTGGCGACCCGACATTAAGTTTTTTTAACGGTGGCGTTATAACGATACACGTTTTTTCTTTTTTTTAACTAGAGAATGTAGTAAATGATAAAAAAACAATCAAACTTACAGCTAGCTATGTATTTCTGGCAAGACGAAAACTACAGTCGAGGCCACCATGCACGTGGGATACTGGGAAAACGTTTGCTAGCGCTTTACTGAGGAACAACGGTCCTGCTGGTTTGTAATAGAAATACAAAACAAATCTAGGATTAGATTAATCCTACATAGAGTTAAAAAGAAGTGTAGAATAAACTAAAACTACCTAAAATGTCATAAACCAAATTAAAAAAAAATAGCTAAATGTCATCGTTAGGTATGAATACAATGTTGCCGCCTAGTAAATGTCTTTCCTCGGCTTGGAACGACATTTAAATGCTATTTAACATTTAAAGTTTGATTGTCTAATGTGGATTTGACTGTGCCTTTCGCTGCTGACACTTGTGTTTCGTAATGTTCCCAGGTAACGTTGGGAAAATGCCGTTGCACGGTAAGATTGTCGTGATTAAGCGGAGTGGAGGAGATGGGACTGAATTTCCTCTGACTGCAGCGTGTTTATTTGGAAGGTTGGTAGAGTTGGCCTTTGTTTACCGTTTGTTTTAATCCCACTTACAGTAGTGTTCATACATGTAAGACACCCTCGTGTACTACAGAAAACGCATACACTTCATCAATGTTTCTCATGTTGCGATTGTGATGGGCTATAAAAACTTTACTGTTAAGCTGTTGAAGTGAAGAAACTATGTTTGTTCTCATATACAGTAGACTTTACATTGTTAGATCAAAGCTCTCAAGAAAATCCACATCAGTTTTGCACCATCTGACCGGCTGTAGCTCAGGGAGGTAGAGCTGGTCACTTACTGATCGGAAGGTTGGTGGTTCGATCCCTGGCTCCTCCAGTCTGCATGTCAAGTATCCTTGGGCAAGATACTAACCCGAACTTGCTCTCCGATGGGTCCATCGGAGTATGAATGTCGTTAGAAAGCACTATGTATAAATAAAGTGCTTGTGAGAATGGGTATGATTGGGTGAATGAGGCATGTTGTATAGAGCGCTTTGAGTACTCCGTGAGAGTAGAAAAGCGCTCTATAAGAATCAGTCTTTCTTCATGAGCCTTTAAAGATCAGCTCCCAGTTACATGTAAATATGAAGAGGTTCCACTTATCATGCAGCTGAATGCCTTCTGCTTGTGACCTTACAGGAAGCCTGACTGTGATATTCGTATTCAGCTTCCTCAAGTCTCCAAGGAGCACTGCCGGATTGACTTGAATGAGAATAAAGAGGTAAGAAAATACAAGGAGCGCGACTGCTTTAATGGCCTTAGTTTGCCGATATTTAAAAAATGATTGCTGTGGGGAATGTTTGCTTAGATGCTGTGTAATCATGTAGTTGTGCTTCTGCTTTGAAATGTTTTCATTGTTCATGTGGTGTTTCTCTCTCGCTCTGTCTTTCTGCCAGGTCATTTTGACCAATTTAAGCTCAGCAAATCCAACGCTTGTCAATGGCGAGGTTTTGCAGCAGTCTGAGCGCTTGAAGCATGGAGATGTTATAACCATTATCGACCGTTCTTTCAGGTGAGTGTGGTCTGAAAGAAACATTTTAACAACCTTTTTTCATAAGCCGTTAGACAAACGCTGAGGTAAAGGGCATTCAAGTTGCGTGTGTTGTTGGAACAGAAGTCTAATCTCTGAAATGCAACCTGCAAAAAGTCAAGGATGTGAGGAACCCGCTGAAACCGAATGTAATGCTTAAGCCCAACAATAGAGATTGACAGACCACGTGACTTTCGCGCATTGCATGCCGGTAACTCGTGGCAAAACAATCCAAATACCTGCATCAAATGCAAGCATTTGCAGCACCGCAAAACGTTCATTCTTCGGTTCCAATAAATTCTTGCTTTTTCTTTGCCCCCCAAAAAGGTATGTACAAAACGAAGGAGAACAATGCCGGTCCGTGCAAAGACAGACTTAATGAAAAGTCAAAGAAAAGGTACGAGGAAAAAAATCAAACCAGTGAAAGTGTTAGACCCTTACGAGCACACAGAGGGACAAAATACGTTAGCGTGTTGCCCAACTTCACCACGCTCATATTTATAATTATACGGTTCTTTGAGTGAGTGCATACACTCGTGAAGTTTAGTAACTTCAGGTCACTGCAACAAGCCCAGGTACAGTTTACCGACGGATGGGTGCAGGACCTTGAAATGCACCGTGTAGAAAGTAAAGACCATCGTACATATCATAAGTTTACCAGTGTCACAAATCGTCTTCATAAATACACATTCGCTAACAGTTTATTAATAGGACCTTTGAGCTCAACGGTAATTAATTAGTAGAAGAAATAATTTCTGGTTCATTACAGAAATGTAGCAGTGACAATAATATTGTATGCTGTAATCGTACTGGGCAATTAGTGATACAAAACAACAGTTTTGTCCTGTGAATAAAAGTATATGTTTTTGTCAGTGTACGATGGTAATAACAGAAGAGAAACACAATACTGTGTCAGGACAATTCACTATTTATGCACAATAAACAAAGGAGCATAGCGCGACAATTTCTGTTCAGCGCCAGACTTGCTTGTAACCTATATCACCAATTATGTGATAAAAATGACGCATTAACTACAACAGCAGACTGACCTTTGTGTAAATGCTTGGAGCAGACTAACCTGTGAGCTGGAGTGTTCTGGGACGTTATATTTTGTCTTTGAATGGCTGCAATCCAGTCGCCTCTTTGTTACTTCGGAAACATGGCTCGAACAATTTCTCTTCAACGACGTAATCCGATAACAACCGATCTCTTTACCTGTCGGCTTTCCGTGGCTGTCATGCGACCGGCTATTGCAGTTAATAATACAACAGCTTCCTGCCATTTTTTGTGTGTCTTTTTATTGCTGTATAACTGATTTCAATTGAAAGCCTGCATGCGCTAGTACCTCTTGCCACGAGTTCCCAGAATTTGCGGTTTTACCCCTGAGTGACGTCACATTTTCAATCTCTATACTAATATGAAATCTGTGTTGGCCGTTTCAGTTAACATGGTATTGGTTTGTTGGTTATTATTGGTAAATGCAAATTCAGGTGAGCAGCACTGGAGTTAATTTATTGTTTTTCATGTAGAGATAAAAATGAGATAATCTATCCTGTAGAAAAGTGGTGGGTAATTGGAATCTTCTGATGTGTTTAACATATTTTAAGAGCTCATAGATTATACTGCTTGCAGTGGAAATGAAACAGTCCTGTACTTAGTGTCTCCATGTTAGCATTGTCATGGTCACCCTAAAGGGCGTCTTCTATGTCTTTGCTTTTGATTATTTCAGGTTTGAGTATCCTCCGGCACAAACGCCAAAGAAGAGGTCTGCCATTGGAGGCAAACCTGAAACCCTCAAGGTAATTTTATTTATTTATTTTCCTTTTAAACCACTCTATTTCAGCCTTCCACAACTCTCTTAAAAAAGTTATTACCTTTCTAATAAATTGGATTGTTTTACTAATGGGGGCGTCTTATTCTTAGGTTCTTCAAGACCAGCAAGTGGGTGACACCCCTATTGTGGAAAAAGGAGAAAAGAGATTCTCTGAAGTGTCATCAGGTGTGATTTCTATTTAGAAACAGTCGTTTTTAGCAATGTAGCTATGTGAAGCAGCGTACACTTACTAAATATGTCTGAAAATAAGCAGACCCATGTAACCAAAGCTGTAAATGGTCTTGCAGAACAAGCAGCTAAACAGCCACTGACTGATTTGTTTTATTATTTTTTTAAGATACTTGTCTTAAAGATGGAGCCAGCCATGACAATATTCAGCGTTCCTTGGAGAAAACCGGAGAGTTGGAGTCCAAGGCAGATGATAGCCTGCTACAAGGCAAGAGCAACTCCCCCTTCAGCGACCTGTATCAAATGATCAAAAAATCTCTGGATGTCAAGACCCCTCGGAAATCTTGTGCCAGTCAGCTTGCAACGCCTTCCTCAAAGGTCGCCTCTCCAAAACCCAATTCGGTCAGAAAAGGTAGTGCCATTTTCACTGAGAGAAAAAGCACTCCTAAGAAAAGTGAAGTTCTAGCTGGACCTGGAAGTACAAACGGGGGAACCCCGGCGTCTGTGAGGAAGCAAGCGAAGGTTCCAGCTGCTGAGACGGCTGAACCCAGAGCAGAAAAGGCTGAAAATGGCAGCGTGATTGAAACGGCTTCACCTCGGAAAAGAAATGGCGCAACTCCTCAGAAGTTTACTGTAAATGAGGTTATTGAGCAAATTACAGCTGAAACACCCAAGTCGCCTGCGAGGAGGAGGAGTAAGGAAATGTCACCTGGCAAAACTCCAGTGACCAAGAACCAAGAAGAAAAAACAAAGGCATCACCCAGGAATTCAGCTGGAAAAGGTTTTCCTGCTCAAAATTGAATTATAATATTTCTGGGTGTGGCTGTATAATTGATATTGTACACTTCTGGTAGCTTGATACTAATGTACGAGCATATTTTGTTTTCATAGGAAAAGAAGTGTCCAAAAAACGCAAGAGTGGAGAACTTGGAGAAGACGTGCCCAAACAGCAAGCGAAGAGGAAACGCGTTTCCTTTGGAGGTTACCTGAGCCCAGAGCTGTTTGACAAACGGTTGCCTCCTGACTCTCCATTACGCAAGGGGGCTACCCCACGGAGGAGCTTGTCTCTCTTGAGACCCAAGCAGTCACTGCTTAGACGAGCATCCGTCATCGGCTTGCTAAAAGTAAGAATGGGCAGTTTAAAGTGACAGTATACTTGGAATGTTAAACACTTATTTAAAACATATTGTTTTCCATAGGAGGGCAGCCCACGTGCAAAAAGTCCTGCAAAAACAAAAACACCATCACCTAAGAAATCACCGAGCAAGAAAATGGCTTCTCCTAAGACTCCAACTTCTGGGAAGAAGTCTCCCAAATCCAGATCACCATCACCCAAGGCAGCATCTCCCGCGAAGAAGTCGCCCAAGTCCAGGTCCCCGTCTCCCGCGAAGAAGTCGCCCAAGTCCAGGTCCCCGTCTCCCGCGAAGAAGTCACCCAAGTCCGGGTCCCCATCTCCCGCGAAGAAGTCACCCAAGTCCAGGTCCCCGTCTCCCGCGAAGAAGTCGCCCAAGTCCAGGTCCCCGTCTCCCGCGAAGAAGTCGCCCAAGTCCAGGTCCCCGTCTCCTGCAAAGTCGCCCAAGTCCAGGTCCCCGTCTCCTGCGAAGAAGTTGCCCAAGTCACCCAAGTCCGGGTCCCCGTCTCCCGCGAAGAAGTCGCCCAAGTCACCCAAGTCCAGGTCCCCGTCTCCCGCGAAGAAGTCGCCCAAGTCGCCCAAGTCCAGGTCCCCGTCTCCCGCGAAGAAGTCGCCCAAGTCACCCAAGTCCAGGTCCCCATCTCCCGCGAAGAAGTCGCCCAAGTCCAGGTCCCCGTCTCCTGCGAAGAAGTTGCCCAAGTCACCCAAGTCCGGGTCCCCGTCTCCCGCGAAGAAGTCGCCCAAGTCACCCAAGTCCAGGTCCCCGTCTCCCAAAGCAGCTTCTCCTACCAATAAATCACCCAAATCTAGATCTGCTTCTCCTAAAGCAACCGCGAGTAAATCACCAAAATCCAAGAGCCCATCTCCTGCAAGAGGAAGATCTCCTTCTAAAGTGGAAACTCCTAAAACCAATGAACAGCAGAAAACTCAACGCAGGGCTTCAGCCCCAGGGCAGATTCCCCACGAGCAAGTTCCTGCTGGAAAAAGAAGGGCAACTGTGGGTTTGCCTGGTACTTCTCTGGAAAGTGTCCCTACTGTCGTCCTTACACCAGCTAAAACTCCCACTAATTCAGGAGTTCAGACCCCCACAGTCAAGGGGCGATTTTCTGTGTCACAAATTAGTACACCCTCTCCAATAGCTGAAGCCGACAAGGTCACTGACCAGGTTCTTTTGCCCACCGTCACCCCTAAAACACACAAGGGAAGGAAAAGCACCTCGCAGAAGACTCCAGGTGCTGCGAAGAGTGCAGTAAAGATGCACAGAAGAAGTAGCATTTCAAGAGCATCTATAAAAGGTATGATAAGTGCTGAAATGTTTGATAGCTGGTTTCAACTCTTGGTTTTTGTTCCCAGCACTAGAAATCTGTCAGTTCCAGTCAGAATGAAGGTCATTAGTGGGAGTAGCTGAAAGCTACTTGTTTTACTCATTTTCTTTTTATCATCTTTAAAAATGTAAATTTAATTTAATCTTTCAAAGCTGTTTATAATTAATTAATGCAGTTGTTGTGGAAAAAGAAATCTGATGATCACGATGAGAATGAGAAGATTAATTTTGTGTGTTTTCTTTCTTTCTTTTTTCTCTCATGTCCATCCAGTCTCCAATCCTTGGGCGCACATTGTGAAATTTGGTCAACCTAAGGCTCAAGTTGTTGCTCCACTTAAAAAAACCATTGGCCAAAAGCCTAAGAAGAGAGCAGTGCCCAAACCACAGGTACATATTGTACCAAGTACAGTTATGTTTTATGTTTATGCGTCTGTTGTTCTGAATCTTTATAATGATCTTTATCAAATCTACTTGTCTTTCCAAAACACCAATCAGACACCTGCCAGAAATCTGAAGGGCTACGTGAGCACTGGACATGCAGACTCGCCCGCCACCATTGTTGTTGGTAGAGCACACAGACAGACCGTTGTGCAGCCAACTGGTGCTGCACCAAGAGTGGTCACCAATGTTGCACTCTTCAAAAAGAACATGAAAATGGATGAAGACTTGACTGGTAAGCACCTCTCCTTCATCCGCAGCAGGTGGTGAAACTTGTGGCCAATTTCAGTTTTGTGCCTTCTTACATTGTGCTGTTTGATTTCAGGTATTTCTGAAATGTTTAAAACTCCTGTAAACGAAAGGAAGCGGAAGTCTTTAATCGATGATAACAGCGTCACAAAGACACCAGCTGGAGGTCAGAGCGCATCTGTGATGGAGCCATCTGTGCTGAGCACACCAGAGGAACCAGGTAAGCTGTGTATTTGTGGTGTTTTGATTGGTAGTGAATCTTGAGTTCTGCATAGTCCAAATAAGCTGGCTGGGACATTAAATTGTTATAAAGGAAAACAAAAATATGACTTATTTACAGGTGAGATGATAGTATCTCCGCTGAGTGTTACATCTGCAGTAAAAGGCAGAAGATACAACAATGAGGCAGTCCAACGCCTCCTTGATGAAGATCAAGACGCCACCTTCATCGGCCAGATTCAGTCAGAGTCAAGTGAACGGCAGAATGCAGATTTGCAGGTGTCCACTGTAACAACTCCCAAACTGAGGCCAGAATTACCAGATTCTCTGACCGGAGTTAAGAGGATCATGAAAACGCCAAAACAGAAGGCTGAGCCTGTTGAAGATTTGAGAGGGAAGCTGTTGAAAACTCCAAAACAGAAGCCTGAAAAACAGGAGTGCCTCACTGGAGTCAAGAGGATCATGAAGACTCCGAGACAGAAAGCCGAACCTTTAGAGGACATCAGAGGGAATCTTCTGAAGACTCCCAAACAGAAGCCTGAACAGCAAGAGTGCTTCACTGGGGTTAAGAGAATATTTAGAACTCCAAAGGAGAAGGCTGAACCGCTTGAAGACCTTCAAGGGAAGATTCTGAAGACCCCCGAAGTCCCAGAAGCTGGTGATGCCAGTTTGGGTGGTGGTAAGGAGCTTCTGCAGACGCCAGCACAGTTGCAAGAATCTGACGCAAAAGGCATGAAAACTCCAAAAAGCTCTCCAGTGGTTCACCTCACTGGAGTCAAGAGAGTGATGAAGACACCTGTGGAGAAAGGTGCTCCTGTCGAAGATGTGGTTGGCGTGAAGAGGCTCATGAGAACTCCCAGACAGAAAGGCGAACCTGTTGAGGCGAATTTCGGGCTCAAGAGACTCATGAAGTCGCCAAGGCTGAGGGGTAATGCTCCAGTGGAGGACTTCGAGGGACTTCAAGAACTTATGGAGGAGCCACTGACTGAGCCCACAGTACAACCAGAGGCAAAGGAGGTAATGCATTCAGTATTCATACAAAATACATGCCCACCAAAAAAGTCTGAACATCTGTCTGTTACTGAGTTAACTCTTATCAATCCCATTGCCTCTAATCCCTGGTTTTAGAAAGTTGTTTGGTGTGCATGGTTTAGTTTTCTAACAAGACCTCATTGTCCAAATTGGTTTTGTTCTATTTTTAGCAGGGTGAAGCTCAGATGTCTCTCGACAGCAGTGCAAACGTGGTAAAAGGTGGGTTAGGTTAACTAAAACTGTTAAATGTTTGTTCTTGGGAGCGTGGACTTGAAAAGGGTTTGATCAGTGTGACTTTCTTTTGTAATGTTGTCAAAACATATCAGCCTCCACACAGATTCAGCGTTAAACTGTTTCTTTCCCCCTCTCTCTCTCTCTCCTTTTGGATGATGATGATGATGATGATAATAAAACATCAGATGCCATGGAAACGGTCTCTCAGGCAGATGCAGTACTTCTTGAGGAAGCTGAGGTGAAGACTGCTGTGAATGCAGATCCTGCACATGAGAAGAAATCTGTACGAGGCAGAAGGGCAAAAACAGTGGAATCTAAAGCAGCTGAGGATAAACAGGAAGAGCCTGTAATCCCTGCTCCATCCAGAGGAAGAAGAGGAAAGAAAACTGAAGCTACAGCACCACCTGCTGTTAGACAGACAAGAGGCAGAAATGCGAAGACAGCTGTTGAGCTGTCAGCAGAAGAGAATCACCTTCCTTCTCCCAAAGTTGCTCCTAAGCCAAAAAGGGGTAGAAGTGCACAGCAGTCTTCTGATGAGCCTGAAGTTGCTGCTGAAGCTGAGCGTGTTCAGAGCCACCCACTTGATGTTGAGGAGAAAGCAAATGAAAGTGCTGTGCCCAAGCGAGGAAGAAGAGCTAAGCAACCCAAAAAGTCACAGCAACGAAATGCAACTGAGGATGTTCCCCAAGATACACCAGGTATAACACTTTAGATTATTTAGTGCCTTCTCTTAGGAAGTATAACTAATAACTGAGCATGTTGCATTATGTTATTTCATTTTTATCATATGTATGTTTATAATTTATGTATAATTTTCTCCCCCTTGTTTTATCTTGCTCTTGTTTAAATTAGATGCAAATGTAGCCTGCAGTGACCAGCCTGAGGTGTTGCCAGGCAGAGCTGATGAAAACAAATCTGATGCCATGGAAACTGTTGTCCAAGCACGTCAAGCTGAAAGCTTACTTCACGTGCAGACACCAGCTTCACTTCAGAAGAAATCTGTCCGAGGCAGAAGAGCAAAACAGGCCGAATCTGAAGAACTTGAAGATAAAAAAGAGGCAGCTGAAATTGCTGAAGATCCCATTGTGCCTACTCCAGCGAGAGGAGAAAGAAGAGGGAAGAAAATGGAAGCTGTAGCGCCACCTGCAGCTAGACACACAAAAAGAGGCAGAAATGCAAAGTCTCAGGAGAGCACCTCTGAGACCTCCGCTGATGCCAGTGCCCAAGCGTCTCTGATAAACACCAGTCTGTCTGCACTCCAGACAGAAGAAGCTGTTGTTAAGCCAGTCAGAGGGAGGAGAGCAAAACAAACACCTGTTAAGCCAGCTCAACCAGAGCCTGAAACGGTTGAAACAGCAAGTGGGGAACAGAGCCAGGTGGAAAACTCTGAGCCTCAGAAGACCACTCTTCCCACAGCTGGAAAACCACGAAGAGGGAGAAAGGCAAGACAGGATACCGCTGAACAGAATGAGGCGACAGAAGAGGTGGTCAAGCAGGCAGCAGTGGAGACGAATGAGCAGTCTCAGCCTCCAGCCAGAGTAAAGAGGGGCAGAAATGCCAAACAGGATGAAGAAAAGATGAATGAGCCTGCTAAAAAAATAAAACTAACAAGAAAGTCTGAGGAGGCTCAAACGGAATTAACAGAAGCCCAAACTGTTAAAATGGTCATTTCAGAAACAACAGAACCAGCCCAGATAAGCGAACAGGCCAGTGTGGCCACGAAGCCCAGAAGAGGAGGGCGGAAAGCAAAACAAGACACAGAGAGTGTGGAATCCATTGAGGTCCAAGAGGTCCCTGTTCTCAGCACAGAAAATAAACCCAAACGAGGCAGGAGGGGAAAACCAGCTGCCGAAGAAACTAAAGCCACTGCCGAAAGTCCTGAACACAAGCCGAAGGCTGAGGAGGCGAAAAACGCTGAGCCACTTTCCTCGTCTATGAAAACTAGCAGGTCAAGGGGAGTGAGGGCTTCTGCTAAATGTGAGACTTCACAAGCCATTCCAGCCAAGAGAGCCCGCAGAGGTACAACTGTTTCTCCTGAGGAGGTCAGCACAGAATCCACAGTTTTGGTTTCCGAGCCTGCTCCCACGTCAGTGGAACCAGCAAGAAAGGGAAGACGGGGAGCATTCAAGTCCACAACAGAAGAGCCTACGACGACTACTGATCAGAAGAATCCTGAAGCTGTTGAGAGCAACGCAAAGATGCCCAAAAGATGCGTTAAGTGGAAATCACACTTGGAAGTCTTTGAGATTCCAAAGGCGACACCTGTAAAAGCAGCGCGAGGTAAGAAGTCTAAAGCTGCAGACCAAGTCAACAGTGAAAGCAAAAATGTGTCAAATGATGCCAACAAAACTGAAGAGGAGGATCTCTCAGATAAAGCTGTTGACAGTAGACCTGTTAAGAGAGTCGGACGAGGGGCGAAGACTGCTGCCAAAGTGGAACCTGCAAACAACCCAGAGAAAAACGTTGAAGCCAAAACGCAGCCTAAAACCCGCAGAGGAAGATCAGCAAACAAATAGATGTATTTGTACACATCAGTACCTTTTTAATGATAATCTATTTTTGTACTTGTGGCTTTTTTTCTCTCTCTCTCTCTTTTTTTTTTTAAGATTGTAATGCTTTGTAGTCCATAGTTTTATAGTGAAAAAGCTTTGCCTGAGTTCAGCAGGGAATCTTTGTTCTTAATCATTTGGTGTCAAGCTGTATTATTCTTCACTGATTCTGCAAATACTTTATGGTTCAAGAAATTGGTTATTAAATTTTTTTCTACATTAGAAAATGTGTGGAAATTGTTTTTATTTTATTAAAAAATGTTTAAATCACAATTTTTGAATGCATCTACATATTGGGTTCAGCTGGTAAATAGATGATCAGGTTAGAAGTAAACACAGTTTATAACTCAAATAGTTATTAGTGTAATAGAATTAGTGATAAAGAAAATAATAGTATGTTTAGCCTGTTATCATAGTGGGCTTTGTGACAATGTTTTAATTAAATGTGTCCTGAGACCTCTGCTGTAACTACCTCAGAGGTTGTAATTTAAGCTCTATTCTGCAGTAGGTTTACAGTTCACCTTAAGTGAAAGGCTTTAAAGGTTTCAAGCTGAAATAAATTGGCTTTAAAATGATGCATTTTATAATTCTACTTTAGAGACCTCAAGTGAAATTGGACAAATTTTAAAATATTTCTTTTTTTTTTTTTTAATTAATGTTAGCGTTTCTCTATGGCCTCAATGCCACCCCTTTATAAATAAACTTCCATAGACTATGCCTGCTACAGTGAGTGCTCTAGTTCAAAAGCTAAGAGGAACTGTATGATTAAAAACATGGGAGCAACCCGGACGGAGTTTGGTGACGGACTGAAAGCAAACGCGGAGTCGACGCTGGAGGGAGATTTGAGGCGCGTGGAAGGTTGTTGGCCTCAAACTTGGCTAGCGATTTTTGTGCTTCCTGCGTTTGTCGTTATAACTTATTCTTTACATCATGTCAGAGGACATCGACATAAAAACAACGCCGAGAGGGTTTCAGTGCACCCTGTGCAACGTCAATTTATCCAACTGTAAGTAACGGAAGCTAACTCAACCATATACGAGTCTGTTGAAGTGCTGTGAATGTAATAGTTTCTTTAATTGACAGATAACTAATAAAACTGCGGCTACAGTTTGAACGTTGCAGTCATTTCCGTCATAAGTTTAATGAGTGTTACCGCACTTTGCAAATTACACATACATTACTAAGTTATGTCTGCTTTATTTTCCGTAGCTTTAAAGTTTAACATTACTCAGAAAATTCGTAATTTTTTCTACAACACTGCAAAAGTCTTGATCCGAAGGATTATAGTTTCCTTCCAAGCAGCCAGACGTTCTTGCCATGTTGTAAAGTGTTGTTGCGCACTAGTTCTCCAGCCTCAAGGTTTTGTTTGTTTTGTTTTGTTTTTTTGACATGGACTGTTTTTCACTCATTTACAGTCCAGTCGTTTTACCTGACCATATTCAGAGTAATCTTTTGGTTATTATGCCGGTTAACGCATACCTTTGGCTCATTCAAAAATAAAAAAATAAACCATCTTTAAATTGTATATTTGGGCATTTTGTTACTAGCAGCATGCTGCAAAAATATATATTTTGTTCACATTTCTTTAGTTGAGTCTATGAAAACTGCCAAAGATAACACAATTTAAAAGGCACAAAATAATAAACAAGATGATTCTTAAAAAGCTATTAACCAGCACAGTGTGTCCTTAAAAAATGTCAGGCTTAAAAAAACACCCACTTATCTGTAGCAGATGTTCAATGTCTCAAAGTTAAAAAAATAAAATAAAATAAAATAAAAATACACTTGGCACAGGACCTGAGAGATGCATCTGCCCCGTTCCAGAGCCCGTACCTGAACTTTATTGAAGCATTATTTTTGTCCTGCAGCGGCAAGTTTGGATCAGCATCTGAAAGGGAAGAAGCATCAGACACTGAGTGGCGTGCGCGCCACTAGAAAGACCCAGGAAGACCACAGCGTGTTCGTTGGTGGCATCAATCCTGAGATCTCCCAAACTGACTTAGCGGAGTATTTTCAGCAGTTTGGGTCAGTCGCAGATGTCATCATTGACAAAGACAAGGTCAGACAACTATACCCGATCCAGATGTGCACAGTCTTAAAGCAACCCCAAATTACTGCATTTCTATTAAAGCACGACTTTATCCCTTTGTGCTCACAGGGTGTGTATGCCATCGTGCAATTCAGCGAGACAGACAGCATCCAAGCAGCTCTGTCCTGTATTGAGCATAAGCTGAAAGGCCTGAAGCTGCGCGTCAAACCTCGGGAAAAGAAGAATTTCAAGTTGATTCCCAAGAAGAAGAACGATCCCGAGAACCTCCAACAAGTTCTTGACTGCCTTAAACCCGACTTGTGTCAGTTGGTGTCTGTAAGCATCCTCTTTTAAACTTTGCTAAAATGTGTGTGTCTTTAAAAAATGACAAATACACTTGTTTGGTGCTTGTGGAGCAATGAAACTCTCGACTCTGCTAATAGACAAGTTTAGTGTAATCGAAAATATGCAGCTTTGAGAATAGACTAGACGAGCTTATAACATATATGTTTGTTAACAAAGGGACTACGGTGTTGCCCTTTGTTCCCCTCTAGGTGAACGCCCAGATGCAGCATGTTGTTGAGCAATTTCAGCTGGGAGAAAATGAAAAGAATGCCCGAAGCTTGCTGGTTCAACTCATGCAGGAGATTTTTGTAGAGTTTTTCCCAGGTGATCTTTGTAAATACCCGTACACAGGTCTTGCATGCATATTGGTGAGGGGAAAAGAGCAGAAGGAAATGTTTTTCTAACTTTTGTGGCCATATGTTGGGTGGTTTGCAGACAGCCAGATTCTCCCATTTGGTTCATCTGTCAACACGTTTGGCATCCATTCATGTGACCTGGACCTGTTCTTAGACCTAGAACACACCAAGGTGTTCCAGGCTCATGCCAAGTCAACCACAGAACAGGTTCGATGCGCACATTTGGTCACATAATATCAAACATGTAGCTCGATAAAGAAGACGCCTTTGGTGAGATTCCCTCTTTCTTCAGCCAGGGGAAGGCGTGTCAGACGATGGGCGGTCTGAGGACTCTATACTGTCTGATATCGACCTGTCCACAGCCGCTCCAGCTGAGGTTCTCGACCTCGTGGCGATGATCCTGAAACGCTGCGTCCCCAGCGTGCATAAAGTCCACGTGGTCAGCAGCGCTCGTCTCCCCGTTGTCAAATTCCATCACCGTGAGCTTAACCTGCAGGGGGACATCACCATTAATAACAGGTTGGTGAGCGAATGCAATATTGTGCAGCATCTGCTGTCTTCAGCTCTGTTTTTATTTTATCTGTGAGCGTAACAGCTGTTTTTCCTCACTAGACTAGCAGTAAGAAACACCCGCTTCCTCCAGCTGTGCTCAGGGATTGATGAAAGGCTGAGGCCTCTTGTGTACACGATCCGGTACTGGGCCAAGCAGAAGCAGCTTGCCGGTAAGACGCAGCAACTTAAAACAAGATCATTGAAACGGATGCCCGTGTTTCAGTTTCCTCTGTATTTTAGGTGGTTATTTCATTTTCTGGTCAACAGATGTCAGTAGAACTTCACTGCCTCTTAGATCACTGATGCGAGAAGAGTGATTTTACAATTTTATTACCTTGTTATGATGAAATAAGACGACACAAACAGCTTTTTTTCTTGTATTGCCAGTGTCGACTCATATTAAAATCTTAATGAATGTTGCTCACTGACACTACTAATTGCCTTTCTGGTGATTACCTTTACTCTTGAGCCATGGTTCTTCTATTCCAGTTGTCACAGCAGCACAACAGTTATTCGGGTTTATTAGTGAACTGTAATGATGTTATGGCTGCGTGAGTCACCGTCAGTCCGAGTGCGTAAACAAACGGGTGACAAAACCCCCCAAAAAAACTTGTGGCTGTGTTCTGATTCGTTTCTTCTTCTTAGTAATGCTGTCACATTGTGGTGTGTAGGTAATCCCAGTGGTGCCGGTCCCCTTCTGAACAACTACGCTCTCACGCTGCTGATCATCTTCTTCTTGCAAAACTGTGAGCCTGCTGTCCTCCCTACAGTGGATCAGCTCAAAGACTTGGCCTGTAAGTGCTGCATCGCTTCTACACTTCACACAAGGACATTTTTGTATACTTAACCAACTAAATACAGTACTGTGCAAAAGTTTTGAGCCACCCCTCATTTCTTTATATTTTGCTTCCAAGGAACCAGACTTGCTAATCATTTTTAAAGTGGGTTTGAGCAATAGTTCTCTGGGCTTTCTTAAGGTCTTTCAAAGCTCTTCCTTGGGCATTGGCTGCTTTTTTAAATCCTCTTCAATCCAGTTGTTGTGCCTGACAAATATCAGAGGAATGTTTCTTTGTTTATTAAGTCACTTAGAACTGAGCTGTGAGTCATCCAAGGATGAAAAAGGCACCTAATTCAAAGCAAGAACCTGTGTTGTGTCTACACATAACAAGCAACTAAGCAATTTTTAAATTTAGGCACTTTGTTACTAGCAGCCTGTCACAAAAACACATAATCTGTTCTCTTTTTATTTAGTTGAATCTATGAAAAATGCCAAAGATAACACTGTTTAATAGGAACAAAAATGAACAGAATATTAATTTTAAAGCCTGGTTTATCTCTGCACAGTGTTTGCTTAGAAAATGAGCAGACTGGACAAGGGGGGGCAAAAGAAGAAGTGGAAGGCCTAAAAAACTATCTATAGCGGATGAACAGTATCTGAAGTCGTTAAGAAAAAAATCCAGCAAAGTTCTGACACAGGATGTGAGAGATGCACCTGACCAGTTAATCTGCCTACTGTTCACTGAAGCCTCATGAGAAATGGTCTCAGTAGAAGGGTGGCTGTCAAGAAGCCATTATTAAGAAGGAGGCACAGGGAGAAAGAACTGGGCTGAAAACCAGTGGCAATGGGTCTGATGGAGTGATGAATCCAAATGAAAAATTTTGGTTAATATCATCATTAATATGCACGGAGGTTGGTAGAGGTAGAACAGTGAGTATTTAGTGATCGTCAGAGGTGGCCAGTTAATTTACCCAAGGGTCCACATGAGGTGCTTTTGTGGGTGCACCAATAAGCTGAACTCAGTTCTGCTCAGTGTTAATTTTATGTGATTTTCTGGGAAATCACAAAGCTGGTCCTGACGGCTGCATACCTAGATTTGTACAGCTCAGTGAAAAAGGCTTTTTTGCAGCTTGGCTAACAAAGCTTTAGATATCTGTTCTGCTCATTCAAGTTCTTATATTTCTTTCTTCAAACTGTAGTAATTAAACAGCAATCTGCTTTCCCCAAGCTGAACACGCGGCTTTACCTCTGACTTAAGTAAAAAAAAAACTACTTGTCTTTTTCTCAGTCTATTTTTGTTTTGTTTTTTGTAGCTAACAGACATTTTTTGGGACTAGCAAACACACCTCGTAAATGTTAGTTCCAATGTATATGTCCTTCAAGAAGCTTGGAGAACGATTCCTGAAGAATGCTTCAGGAAGAGAAAAAATATATTCTCGTGTATATATTTCCATTTTGATGTTCGGGGGGGTTTTGTCCTAGGGAGAGTCAAACTGTTCATGGCTCCTTCAGCGGCTCACGACCCCTTAAGATTTCTTTTTGTACCAAAACACAGGTTGAGACAATCTTTGACAAAAATGAGAAATTTGACAAAGGAATAGATCAAGAGCTCAGAAACAAAATCCTTCTGATCTGGAAAGGATTATGCATGTCTTTGTTACACATAAACTGGACTACTGTAATGAACTATATGCTGAAGTTAATCAATCATCCCTTGCCTGTTTACTATTAGTCCAAAACGCTGCAGCTGCTGATTACTGAGTAGGACGAAAAAGCGAGGTCACGTTCCTCCAGCGGTGGCAGCTTTGGCTCTGGTGCATTACAGAGTCCAGTATAAAGTGGCACAGTTTGTTGTCTCGTGTTGGATACGCTCCCTGGAGATCTTTAAGGTTTGCTTCTCAATCACTCTGTGGTTGAAGTTTATTTCCAGAGAAGGCATCTCCAGCTGCCTCTCTCTTCCCGCTCCACCACAACCACCCACACATGCAGGGCCTTGGAGTAGGGGTATGTCACCAGGGTGCAGAGGAGGCTACCCCCCCCTCTGTCCCCTTCTGGCTGCCTCTGCCTCAATTTTATCCCACAACTTAGACATTCACATTATTCACACTCTCATTACACATACATATAGGATCTTGGGGGTGGGCACAATCACGGAGTCCAATTTACCATCAGGGTGTACACTTCACCCCTGGCGTCGTTGCCCACCTCTCAATTTTAAATACACGTAGACATTGAGGGCTATCAGGAGGGGCTATGCGCTTACCTGCTGCTCCTTGGCAGGTAGCTCCATGCCCTCCTGGGTTTTAATTGCACCTTAGAACACACATGCATCAACACTACAATGAGCGGGTGGAGGGAGGTTTGGAGTCTTCTCCCACCCCCATTCTCTGCGGCCTGCTGGAGCGGGAGGGCTAGGTGGAGTTGGCCGTCCGACTGCGGTCTGGAGTGTGGGGCCTCCCTGCTGCTACGGAGTCGGGGTGGTCTGCCTCTCCCCACCGCGGGGAAAAGGGTAACACCACCTGGGTCTGGGTGCAATTCCCCCCTCCAGGGGTAAGGGTACCTAGACCCGGTTTGTAGAGTACGCTTGGGGAGTGTGATCGTGTGTACAACGTCTCTTTATGTCTGTCTCCACGTTGGTTGAGTGTGGAGTGAGTGCATATGAGAGCATGAGGGGGGGAATGGATGTTTGTGTCTGTGTGTGCCTGTATGTCTGTGTCTATATGTCAGGTTGGGTGTCAGACGCCACCTCTCTGGGGACACCTCAGGCCCTCCAAGGTTTGGAGGCCTATCTCCACCCACCACCACTTCCCCTGCCGGTGGCGGACTCCCTCAGGTGTCGGTGCGTTGGTGGTTCCTTGTGTCTGGGGGTGGGCGTCCAGGTACACACCGGCTCACTCCTTGGCGGCCGCTTATCGGGCCTGGAGCCTGGGGCTCGCTCGGGCCCCTTTGGGGGTGGGGTGCCCCCGGCCTCTCGGCCTGGGGCTCGGTCACTCAGGCACAGCTGGCGGCCGGCGGAGCTCACGGGCGCGTCACTGCAACTCCCCCTGGCTTCTGCTCCGCGGCAGCTGAGTGAGCCCTCATCTGGGACTCTCCTCAGCTCTTACTGGAACAGTGGCGCAGCTGCCCCTCTGTTGGTCTTCCATGGTTTCTTGTGTTCTGGGGGCCTCTGGATGTCTGGAGTTTTGATCTCCTCCATACCTGCTTCACACCCTGGAGGACGGGGCTGTGGCCCCCCCACACTCCCTAGCAGATCGTTACATGGAGAAACCTTTGGAATACAAGCGCGCTGATCCACACAGGTATGCACACGGGTGTTCACTGCTCGTAGACCCAAATTACACCTTTCTTGGCTGCTACTTCGAAGCACATCTGTCCTGCGTGCTGCACAACAACATTGAATATTTAGTATTTACTGCTGTTTACACTTAGCTAGATTAATGCGATGGTGTTGTGTTTAGTATGTTGCTTTGTTTTTTTTGTTTTTTTGTCTTTTTTTGCTTGTTTTCTATTCTTCTCTCAACAGGTGATCCAGGAGATTTTTATTTTTTTTCTCCCCCCCTTTCTCACTGTCCCTCTCCCCTTCTGTTTTTCCTTTCCTTCCTCTTTCTTTCTCCCTTTCCTATCTCTCACTCATGTCTGTCCCGTCTGTAACATCTGAAAATAAAATATAATAAATAATAAAAACAAAGATCGACCAAATGGACCAATACGGCAATGCCACGATGATCCATTTGGCAAAGTAAATCCATTGGGTATCCTTGTTGGTCTTCAGACAACAATTCTGATGGCTAAAGAACCAAATGGGACAGGCGGAGAAAAAAAAAAAAAGAAGTTGCAGTTGCACCAAAAATTATGGGATGACCTCCCAAATGACCTCAGTGGCTGTTTTTAAATCTAAAATAAAGACACAGCTTTTCTGTTATGCTTTTGGAAACTTTGCCGGACCTCTGTTTGGATGATTGATTACTGTTTGGTTTTTTATGTAAACCCTGTGAATGCGTGTCTGTTTATTCGAATTTATTTTAGTGTAAAGCACTTTGGTGTCAAATATGCTATATAAATAAATTTTTCTTCCTTAAACTACTGTTTAGTTTGAATTCCCTCAACTCTCATCACTTGCACTGAGGAACAAATCTGAGTGTATGAGCACCGAGAGTTACCTGACCCTACTTTTACAATTAACTGTTTAATTTAAAGAAAAACTTTAATAAAAAACAAAATACTTCTTAATATATTTTGTCTTGCAGACAGACTAAAATGACCGTTTCTATTAAAGGTAACTTAGATAATGTATACTGTGACTTTAGCTTATGTATTAACTGTTTAACCTGTGTTAATAATTATTAACTTGATTGCAGGTGAGGAGGAAGAGTGTGTGATTGAAGGCTGGAACTGCACCTTCCCCAGTCAGCCAATTGCTGTTCCCCCCAGCAAGAACACTCAGCAGCTCTGTAAGTTAAAGTTAAAATGTAAAGAAAGAAATGTGTTAGTCAGAGATTTGCTCGCTCTAAACAAATCGTTTCTCTGTCCAGGTACCCTGCTGGCTGCCTTCTTCTCCTTTTATGCCAAGTTTGATTTTGCAAGTAGTGTTATATCTGTTAGGGAGGGCCGTTCATTTCCAATCACAGATTTCCTCAGTCAGAATAAAGAGGACGATGCTTTGCAAGAGGACCAGTCCACCAAGGCCCATCAGCAACGTCCCAAACTTGGCCCCCTAAACCTCTTAGACCCCTTTGAGCTTTCCCACAATGTAGCAGGAAACCTGAATGAACGGTGTCAGCGCAGCTTTCAGAGGGAGTGCCAAGAGGCTGAGAAGTACTGCCGCAGCCTGCAGTATCAGCGAAAATCTACTAAGGGGAAACCGTGGGGCCTGGTGCGCTTATTTAGCCCACATGGGGAAGCAACACCGTGCAAAACAGAGCAGCTGACCATCAGTATCCCGTTCAAGTCGGCCTCGCTCCCAGAACGACTGCGCAACGAACTGCACGCAGCGGGAGACGGTTTCCGGCTGCTGTGGTTTCAGAGAGTTTGCTCTGCTGTGGAGGAAGTACTGAAAAACATTCTCAAGTGTCACCTCGCTCCCTCTAAAGATGCTGTATTTGGCGAGGACTCGTCCATTTCTGCTGAGGAAATGGAAACTACACAAGCTTCTGTCACATCGTCACTCAGTGACAGCTTTGACGGTGCTGAAGCCCAAATCGAAGCCAGCCCTCTGGGTACAGTTGTTATCGGTGGCAAGAGGCCGCTGTCTTCTGGCAGTGATGCTTCGGTGTCGCCGCAAGGCAAAAAGCCAAGAATGGCGAGACGAGGGAAGCCTGAGCTCCTGGCATGGATGTGCATGCAAAAACACGTAGTGTGGGCGGGCAGGAGGAAAGTGAAACGGGAGCTGATCAAAGATGCTGACTCGAGGCCAGAGGGCAGCTGTGTGGAGCTGGAGTCCCAGGTTACGGCTTTCATCATTGAAAAAGAGCCAGAGCTCAAGGAACCCCTGGAGTTTAATGTTCAGCCCCAGATGCTGGGAGGAACAGAAAGCACAAGGGCAGTGCTCAAGTTAGAGCCGAGCAGCGACAAGACAGGAGTGTTTCAAGACTTCTTTCATTTCCTGGAAGCTTTCTTACCCAAGATGGTAGAGACATTGTTAGAAAAAGAAGAGGCTAGTGCTTAAAAGGCAATATGTTTCCCTAAATGAAAGATTTTTTTTGTATTAGTTATGAAAAAAAGATGCAGTAAATGCTGTGTAAATGAATCATTAAAAAAAGGGACAAACAGCTGTCTATTATATGTTTTTAATGGTTTTCATTCATACTGTACGTTTGTACTTCTGAGTTCTTGAATATTTCACATTTGAGGTTCTGATTGGCCCATTTTTAAGTTTAACGTGACTTAGTTTTACTGTCTTATTTTTAAAGTCATTCTGTTTGGTTTAACAGCTCCACATCTTGTTTTCAGCTGAATAAAGTCCTTTTGTAAAAACTCTTCCTCTCAACACTTTCTTTTACATAAAGAGTTGTAAAGTGTAACAAATTTGCAAAAATAGAGTTGTTTGTTTCACGGTTTTCCAGAAAGAAGCCGTTGGGCGAAGCTTTCTTTTTTTCTGTTTCCCTCGTCGGCTCTGTGCTCATATGACTTAGACAGATGAGAGTAATTATTCAGGCAGGCAGTCTTCTTTATTACAGCAGGACAAGGTGGAGCTGAGGGATGCACAGAGCTCCCATGTGCTGATTAACATCATTCATCTCACTTTTATAGGGAAATACAGATGGTCTGCTTGTGAGATAGGCCTATGGAGATAGCTGTGATGATAAAGAGTGTTGAGATGAGATAGTACATGTTAATCTGACGCTGGTTCACATTAATGACAGGATGTTTATTGTTGCCACATTATTACAGAGGAAACTGTAACGTATGACCCAGCCGGTTAGGATATTTGTGATCCCTCACGATTCACAGTGTATTTTGGGTCTGACTGCTATTTAAAAAAAGGAAACTTGTGGTAATGTGCAGTTTTGGTTTGATTTTTGGCCCATATTTCACAATCCTCCCCTCCTTCCTTTACATTTTGTAAGCAAAATAATGGAAATTGACTTATTAAAATGTGCAAACATCTGTGTTTCTGAGTAAATAAAGAAAAAACAGTAATTCTAATGAGGTCAAAAGTTAACATTTGGTGTTACCACCTTTATTCTTCAATGCATCCTGAACACTCTTACTTCTTGTCATATTTTTTAAAAATCGTCTTCAGGATTAGTTCTCCAGATGTCTTGAAGGACTTTCAAAGCTCTTCTTTGGATGTTGGCTGCCTTTTGTTAAGGCTCAGGCAGGTTCTGTGACAGGTCTTTGCTGATGTTTTTCTAATTCCAAAGGATATGACTTTCACATACTTGTCATCTGTTGCAGTTAGTTTTTATATATATCAACTTTCATGTTAACAGCTCTTTTGGAATCACCTTGCTGGAACAAAAATACTATTTCATGTCAGGTAAACTATCTTTGGGATTTGTCATAGATTTGACTAAAGACGTGTGTTTTTATGACAGGCTGGTAGGAATAAAGTGCCTACAAATACGAGTTAAAATTGGTTATTTGCTAAGTTGTCTGTTATGTGTAATCACAGCATCGGTTCTTGCCTTTTTTCTGCTTGAATCATCAGTGTTGCTAAGTGGCCTAACAACAAACAAACAAATATTCCTCTGAAAATGGTCAGGGGCAAGGACTGGACTGAAAAAGAGCTCGAGAATACCTGGAGTCCTTTGGTGAGATGGTGAACCAACAACTGGAAGGGCTGCCATTAAATTCAGCACACAAATGCATGACCAGAGCTTTAATTGCCATTAAACATAAACTGCGCCATCATCAGGGCGCAATTTATGTTTTTACAATATTTATGACTGCCGCCAGTACTCGTAAGAGCTATGAGTGGAAAAAGTGAGTCTTAGCCTGGTGTGCCGTGTATCCTTTAAAACAAAATAAACATGGGGTCCTCGGGCTGTACAAACTGTACAACCCGAGGACTAAACAAGCTGAAGACCTAACCCTAACCCGGTTAATCTGGAGATGGATCTTTGCAAAGACTCCATCTCCAGATTAACCGGACATGAAAGTCTTGTTATTAAGAAAGACAAAGTAATATAGCAAAAACCGGACATAGGAAATGTGAAACTCACCCAGCACATCAATTGATCCCTTTATTGTTCACTTTAGGCTCATAAAACTACAATAAACGGTAAAACTTACCAAATATGCATCTGCACAGCGCTGTATCTTTAAATGACCTTGGTTTGTCCTTGGTTTTTTCCCCTGCTCAGTTGAGTACCGAGGCCAGCTCGTTTGTAATGGCATAAGCCATTACACGGCGGACTCGCACCTCCAGTGTGGTCCCTCCAACCAATCAAGGCAAAGCGTCTCACCTATAGACACATTTTAAGAGATGGAATTAGCGTGTCTCATGTCTTAAATGTGTATGCAAGTGCTTGTGTGTATAATCAAAATGCCGTCGTTATGTATTTAAATCACATCTGACAGCTATTACACTTTATAGTTACAAAGTGTACATAACCTTTATATACTTATTGCCTTATTTGCCTCTTGTGATTGAAGAGCTGCCTCTGCATTGTTTAGCTCCTCAATGTTGTGCAAGGGCAAATCCAGAGGTGGCCACCTCTTTGCCTCGCTATGCCTTTGTGACAGCCAGCGAGAGGAATTTTCCATCCATTTGTCCCGTCATCGTCAAGGAGACGCCGTTTGAAGTCCTTAGGGAAATTTCCTTAAATTTGACACAAATGGTCACATGGGACTCAAGCATGATTCGATTTTATGATCAGTGGTCACAAAATCAACTGTGATGATTGACATAATTCCAGAATTCATACCCAGTACTTTAAAAACAACAACAACAAAAAAAACCCCAAAATACCCTACCCTTTATTCCCAAAGTCAGACGTAGGCTCCAAACCCTCTGATGCTGTAGTCGGTAAGTGGTTAAGAAAATAGATGGATGTCTTTGTAGATTTATTTTCAAGTTTCTTTGTGTCTTTGTTTTTTTGTTTTTTAAGCTGAAACAATTACTGTTGTTGTCTGTGGTTTATTCTTGATGGCGCTATCTTTCACCGGCTCTCCAGGCTACTCCAATATCACCGCTTGTTTTCAAAGGCTCTGCTGGTAAACAAAGACTCACACACACACGTGCACGCACACACACTTTAAAGCCTGAGATTTAAAGTGATTGATTGCAAAACTGCCAGGGTATTTGCTGCTGGTCAGAGTCAAGAAAAAAAACATTACTAGTTGTGGCCACACTCATACAAGCCATTTGCCTCAAGTTTCCATTCACCGAGGAAGGCAATCTGTTGTAAAAACCTTTCCTTCAAATTGGCAACGCAACAAGCGAGGACTGACGCAGCTCAAAAGTTTATATAATATATTTCTTTTTGTTACATTACACGTCTGTAAAGATACTGCCAATGCACAAAAGTGCACGAGATTGCGTGCATTGTGTTCCTTGCAAAAGTGAGGTTTTCATAGTGACTCACTGTATACATGACACACACTTCAAATGTGCACCTTTTGGGTCATACAAATCCTATTTAAGATATATTATCCACATTATTAACTGATTCACATAGGCATACATGTTAGCTGTTACTTTGGGAATGGAGCCCAAAGTCAATAAATCCAATTTCCTTATTTGCATTTGCATTGGAGTCACATTTGAGCACCACGGCAACTAGTTATCATCATGTCATTGACACAGAACGCCAACTCTGTAACAGAATAGCTCAAAGTGTCCTGCAGCAGCTGATTTAGCACCAGGAATGCTTAATTGAAAGCCAAACTGGACAAACTCACTTACAGGCATCACATTTCGGCTTTTCTACACTATTTATATCAAACGTGATTGTTAGTTTTTGTTTTTATCAGGTCCAACTAATTCCAGCAGGAGAAATTAAAAATTCATCCCAGACAAGTACCTGGATCTCAGGAGGTTAAGGGTTAAAGAATAATAAGAACAGTAGCAGGGATTTGATGAAGGATGTGGGATGGGTGGTTCTCCCACTGTAGATTAAAAGCTTACTTGGAGACTATCATCACCATATTGAATTAAACGAAGTCAGTGCAGTTGTTGAGATACATTATTATGAAAGAGTCCAGAGATCTTGTTAGGAACCATCTCAAATCAAGAATACGGGATGGATATAGAGATATTTTCATTACTGGCAACCATGAATTTCGGGGCACTGAATAGTTTTCTTGACTTCCCATCTGAGCTACACCATCCTCTTTATCAGTGAGATTTGGAGGTCTGGAAATGTTATCTTTGGCTACTTTACAACATTTATTAAGAGCACAACTCACCAAATAAATGTTAAAACTGCACATTTTAATTTTTTTTATCACTCCTAGCTAAAGTCTGTCTTTAACCCTGTCTAAGAATCCAGTCACCTGTAGAGTAACTCATCGTGTCAACCCTCCCACTACCTCAAGGAAGTCCTGGCCTACGCTTACTGATAATTGGCTGACATGAGTGGGTCACCAGTAATGCAGCTCACCTGGGCCTTCCAGGCTTTAAAAGCTGGCCCAGATGAACTGCTCAGTCTCTTCCTCTCCACCTGGCATCCACCTGCTTGGATGTTTGTGTCTTGGTTAGTTTATGTTCAAAAAATGGTCCTTCATTCAAGTAAACCTACTCTGAGCCACTTTGCGACGCCCTTATATAATTTGACTCGTATTATGCACGCCTTATTTCGCGCTTAAGCAAGTCATACATTAACTGAAATGTCTGCACTCTTGTCCGGCCATTTAACCGAGACTTTGCATTAGAATTTCTTATAATGGGAAATGGAACTTGAGAAAAATAGCTGAGGCGAATATGATGATCAGTGAGAGGGGATATTCTTAATACAGTCATCTCAGGCAGGCAGCTCTGGCAGTAGCAGGAAATGAGCACGGGTCCCCTTTAAGAAACAGCTCAATAACAGTAATCATGGTAACAGTTTGCATTAATTAAAGGCCTTTTAAGGCATCCAAGGAGCACATGTAACCTTTGTGAATTAAAAATGGACACACAACACGTGCATTCATAGACAACAATGAGTCTCTTTGTTGCTTGATTAGTTATTGATGACCAACTAGTTCCATGAAACTCATTTGGTGTAATTACTAAAAGAATTGACTTTGGTAGGTGTGCACCGTGCCTGTTAGGCTCCAGGGCGCATTCTTCATTTAGATTCTCCCATGTTTTGAGTAATTGCCAAGTCCATCGTGAAGATATCCCAAATCAATCCCCCACAGATTCAAAATCCCCACAGCTTACAGGAAATATCAAATATCTCCATGAGCTGCTTTGCAATCACATCTAGTATGATCTCCTTTTTTCTTACACCTCACATTATAGAGCGTGACAGATTTTCAGGGGACAGGTTGGGCACCTAAATAACACAATGGCTTCCTTAATTTGTAATATATTTGAGGACATT